AACAATCCGGATAAGCGCAAGTAAGTACCATTTTGATTAGCCGTCGTACCTACAATGTTTGTGCACTGTGTAAACAATAAGTGACGTATACGCGCGAGAGATCACTTCCGGCGCTTACGTAAACTACGCCAGAGCGCGTACACACCTCACGCATCGGATGCCGTGCGCGCGCTCAAGGAAGTTGGACATAGTGGTGTATTAGAGGTAAAAAATTATATAAATACTGTTCGGTTTCTCACACAAACCGATCGTTTCATGTCTTAGGACATCAATGCCGTAGAGTTTAATTTGGATTTGTCTGTGCATGTTTTTTTTACTCTCATAGATTTTGTTACCATTGCCATGCATTATATGACTGATAGACTGCAACGGCTGGAGTTAAAAATCATTGTTTGTGTTCTGCTGAAGAAACAAAGTCACCTACATCTTGGATGCCCTGGGGGTAAGCAGATAAACATCAACTTTTTGGGTGAACTATCCCTTTAATGAATCAGTCTTGATTTACATCATAGTCTGGGTCTTAGCATCTGTACATTACTAAAAATTAATATAAAGCTTTTTCGTTAGGAAAATTTTATGAGAAAAGAGTGAGCCCTAGTTTCACCACACATATCAATACCTTCAAAATATCTTTGAGCTGAACAACCTCATCTCTAAGCTCATCCCGCTCATTTCGAATGGCATCAGAAAATTCCTTCTGCCTTTCTAATGCCTGAACAGCACCAGAAGGGATTTGGCAAAGATGCGGGGAAGAGGAGAAAAAGAAGGGGAAAGCAATGAAAACATCAGTGCTGCAGACAACATGAATAGTTTGGCAATGACAGACAGGTTGTAGCAGGAAACAGATGTGGAATCTAGCTAATCTACAATTATATGTTTGAAAGATAAAATTATAATTCTCTTACAGTGAAGGTAATGACAAATACAGTTTTTTTTACAGGAGTTGGAAACTGAGGGATCATACCCCAATTTTTTTATTCTTCCACTCAATAGTTTCCTGGAGGTCAGAAATCTCCCTAACATAGCCGTCTTGCTTGAGCCGTAATTGACGGATCTCCTATAGAGAGGTATTGTGCATGGAAGAAGACCAAAGATGAAGGAAGGAGAAAAGCTGTTAAAGCAGATGGGCAGATAAGCCAAGCATTTGAAAAAGACAAAGGTTTTAGCACAGACATAAATACTACAATACTCACAGTGAGCAGTTCTTCACTCTGTTTCAACGTCTCCTTCAGTTCACTGAACTGAAACTGCAGTATGCTATGAGCATGCTTCTCTCGTTCAAGGTCCTAAAATATAAAACTGCCTTTAGTGGTTTTTTACCCTTTAAATTGAATATTTGTACACCATTCTATTTCAATCATAACATGACAAAAAGATTACAAATAATAAAAAATAAAATGAATGAATAAAATTTCCAATTAAAAGCTCTTCCTATTGTAACAATCTATTATTTGTGGCTCGACAACATATTACAACAAAGCATTACTGCAACTTCTTATAATGCACACCTGACTCTACAGACCTTACACTTTTCCTCAAGCTCACGGCGTGTTTCAAACAGCATCTCCTCCAGTTCCATTAAAGAGTCTTTCAAAGTGTCCACTTCATACATCATATTGGTCTTCTCATTGTCCAGCTGTGCATTGGAGACCATGGCCTTACGGTACTTTTCCTCTACTTCCAAAAGGGAATCCTTTAAGAAGTCAGACACCACAATGAAAACCAGTAAACACTCACAAACACACGTCTGTGCATGCATTAAAATACCTCAACCTCTACATCAGTCTTGAACACAATTTTAAACAAAATTTCTCCTTAAAATTAAAATCGAATCAAGCTAAATCATGAAGAGGGATGTGTAACAATATGTTTTGGAGAATAAGATAAAGTCAAAGATGGAAGCAAGGCAGAGAAAATGAGGCTATAGACTTCAGTGGCATAGACATATAAACATGCAAGATCCCAATATCACATCATCTCATCCTGTTTCTGATCAGCCACTCGCTGGTTAAAAAGCACAAAATTTGTTGTTCCTTTGCCAGCACTATCATAGATAAATCAAACAAAGCAGGTTCTCGCTGGGCTTTTGACTGGCACTGCCTTTACCAGCCATGTACCTTGAGCTCTTTGAGGTTCTGCATGTGCTTTGCCTCCACATCTTGAATCTGATCCTTAAGCTCATGGATCTCCTGAATGAAAAGCATGAAGAGTGAGGATGAAGAGGAAGGATAAAGGATGTAGTGGAGGAAGAGCAACGGAAGGGTAAAGAACACCAGACTTTCAAATGAATTACTGTGCAAAAAAACAAGTACAAAGCTGTATAAAATAACAGTGAAACAGATCGTAGAAGGTGGTCAGTCCTGCTCCTGAAGAGTTCAACACAAAAACATCTTAGTTATATTGTTGAGGTGTGTTTGATTGGAGCTGAGACTTTGTTGGAAGGCAGATCACTAGGAATACGACTGAGCAACAAAGAAAGTGGAAATTGTGTTCTGTGAGCAAGATGAGTGATGAAAACGAGCAATGAGTTCTTATCAGACTAAATTATATTATAAATAAATGTATTTATAAAATATGCTATGCTACAGTGCTATTAACTTGGATTAATTTGCCCAATATGTAAACAGCAAAAGCATACCATGAAATCATGGGATGATATCATGTGGTTCTATAAACCTGCTGCTTAAATTTAAACTGGCACAAGACAAAGAGATCAGGACACACACCTTGATTTCCCTTATGGATGCTTTTGTGTCAGCAGAGATGGATGTATCTCCACTTCCTCTCCGTGAGGACGTCCCACCCAGAGAGGTAAGAGTGGCGCCAGAAATAGTTGAGGCTCGTGAGGATCCCTAAAAATACAGCAAGTCATAGGTCACATCCCTTGGTTATGGAGTTTATGATGAGAATATAGGCTTAAATGGTTAAAAAGATAAACAAATTGGCAAAAAATCACAAACCTTTTCCAAGTAGTCTCGCTCTAACCTGTCATCAGCCTGTAAATAAAAAAGATGATACACTTGATAGTCTTGCAAAAATCGAGTCAAGCCATCGAGTCTCTTATTCATTCATTCTGATTCATGCTGTTCCTTGAAGACATGCAGTTAACACAAAAAAGTTAGTAAAAAATATATTCCCATTACAGGAAGAAAATCAGTCCAAGTCAAGCTGAAAAGATTCAAACCACAATGATAGTATTTGATCAATATGCAACCATCAAGCAATTCTGTAATTAACAGAGTGCTGCGAATAGGTCTTTTTAAAATAACCTTGAATTATAATATTAACAATTGGAAATTTCTATCAAGCATCATGACACGCATCAGACTTCTGTGGTTTTCTGCACATAACCACTTTTCTGACCACTGACCATCTCACATGCAGACCATCACCTCAATTCAACATGCCACTGTTTGTAACACACACACACACACACATTTAAACCAGGGCATCAACCACCACAAATCACATGAACCCGAACATTTCACTCTCATACCATTGACAGCCTCCCGTTAACGTTTGGCAGGTCAGGAATGACCACACGGTCAAGGTCTCTAGAGAGGCCACTGATACTAGCTGAGCTGTGCATAAAACTAGCCACTGAGCTGCTGCAGTCCTCCTGGAAACCACCAGATGGCAGCAATTAACATCAATGCAAGAGGTATTTCAGCTATTTGTGAAGTCTCAACTGTCCAAGTTTAACAGTTGGCTTTTTGCATGCACCCAAAGAAAGAACGCACACAAACACACACATCACCTCAGATGTCCTTTCTTACACTGTTAAAGTAACTCAATCCTACTTAATAAGGTAAACATCAAGCAATTAAACAATTTAACTCGGAGACTAAAAGCATATTCATCCACTGATTTAGCTAGAAACAACAATCAACTTCACACAATACAGGATTTATGAGACATTAAAAGCAAAAGCCCCAATGAACTGGACGCTTGCAGCTGTAACTGAATCGGTCACTGAGAAAGCAACTTATGAAATATAATTGTGATAGTCCATGATCATCTTGGGCATCAGTGACCGTGAAGTTGCTCACCACTGGACTTCCGCACGCAGAATTTGCTCTGGACGAAGTCCTAGAGCTGGAGCCCAGGAAACCACTGTATTCAGAGGACTAGAGGAACACACACACACACACACACACACTATGAGAATGTGAAGAATCAGAGAGACAGAGCAAGAGAGACGATATACACAAAATGGATTCGAGATTGTCAGACATTTCAGGCCTGATACAGTCAACACACATCTGTAAGAGTCTCCACAAAAAAAATTAAAAAAAATTCAAAATCTACAAGCAGTACAAATTTACAAACCGAAAACAAGCTGGTAGAAAACTACCCACTTTGACAACATACATGCCTGTCAATGTCTTACACATCCTTTGTTAGAGAACAAGCTTGACATGAAATACTTGATATTTAAATTTGTGACATACTGCATCTAAAATCATTTTAACCTGCATTTTGTTCATTTCTTAAGATTATACATGCAGTTATTAATTTGAGAGACAACATGCAATATTTGTACTTTTTAAGTGGTACGGCAAATCAATTAAACCAACTAGTGAAATATAATAGTTTACATATATAGTTTATGACGATTGCTAAAATATATGTAAAAACACCTAAAATACACACTTTCCTTTAAACATTCATGTCAATTTTAACCAAAAATCTTGATGTCTATCAAAAGATAATGTCATGTGACAATGTTAAGATTGTCAGCTACCCAAATATAAAGCACTCTTAGCTTTATGGAATTAGCAAAGCCTTTTAAAAAGCATTTCAAAGCATTTTTGACCTGCATTATAGCATTAATTATTATGAAGAGAGAATATTACAAATTAAAAAAAAATCACACTTGTTGGTTAGGGAACTGAATCCACAGGTTAATAGGGTACAATTTTCATGCACATTTACAGTTTAGCTCTATCATTCTTACAGCACGAGCACTGGAGCGCCGAGAGCCACTGTAGAGACTGTCCTCATATACAGAGCCCTGATGAAGGACAGATATAAACACACAGCAGAGAAACAACATTTTTATCACCTTCTCACGCCTTGAGGTCTTACCCATAACCACTCTGTGCAAGTGAGCATGCAAACTCTCTCCACAGCCTCAGTTCTCCTTTTTTATGCACAGTGTATCAATAGTCTTTCATCACATTCAGATGATCACGTGACTCACGTCATTTGATTTCTGTCAGGTTGGTGGGGAAAAAAGGTCTGTAACTAGTTATTAAAGGTGAAGTGTGTAATTTTTCAATATTTTTATTCATTTTTATCCCAGTTTAATATGCTGAGATTGCTATTCATAGGATAAAACCCCTTTTAAAATGTCAACTGACTGATGAGCTAATAAAGTAGAAGTTAGAGCAAGATCACAAAATATTGGTTAAAACAGTCAAAAAAAAGTTGATATTTTTCAATATCTACCAGGAAAGATGCATTGTAGTCATTAAAATAACTATAATAGGTTTTTGGGAAGTCTGGTTGGGAAAACAATTAATCAGCACAAACCCTAAAGACAACTAAACAGACAGAAGAGATGAACATTTCAAATCAAATACAGCGTGAAAGTGGAGAATAACTACAATAAAGGTGAACATGACAGGGAAAAATGATACAAGAAAACAGAAAGAGGGGATTTAAACAGTGGATAGATACTCAGCAGCATGGAAGGAGCGGATGAAGATGACAGACCTGGTAGCCATTGTAGGAAGGGGCTTGAAGTTTAGAGGAATAACTACTGCTGCTGTACAGTACAGATGAATAGAAGGCTTTCTAAAATGATGGGAAATAATGTAGATGATTGAATGATGAACTGATGAAGACAGAAGCGTGAGAGATGTACAGAGTGATGGAGGGAGAAAAATGTTTTACCATGCTAAAATGTGCAATGCAGGGGCATCATGCCAGCTGAGGTCAGGAATGGTACTAAATGGGCTTTTTCACACTTGAAAATGTTCACCCAGGATCATTTTTTGTAACATTTTTGCAATAATTATCTTATTTCATCCTGCACACTGTTTATACATCACCCAGGGTTGAGACTGCACAGTTCACATATCTGGCAGTGTAATTTGGAGATAAAAAGATGTTAACACTACCTATAGGGCAAAAATGTTTGTGTGAAAAGCCATTAATTTTGCTACAATTCACATGCATAAAACCGTTGCATAGAAACACACCTGTATTAATTAATCAATAATTGTACATCTACTATTTTACAAGTAACTACCGAAATCCCAAACTCTTCAGGTTATTTTATTTGGTCTAGCTTGTCTGCCGGACGGGCCAAGGTATGCTGGTTTCTCAGCTTGATTGTTTAAAACCTCTCTAAAACCAAGCAAACCAGATTAGTCTAAACAGGTTGGATTACCAGCAAATCAGCTAAAAGTGGTCAACCAATATAGATAAAAAAGAGACTGTTGCTGTTATTGTTAGATAACATCATTTGTCATCATTGTATCATTGTAGTGATACGATGCTTCAAAAAATGATATTTTACATAACATTTACTGAATTAAAAATAAATAACTTGAATATAAAAATGTATTAATATAAAAAAATTGAAATTGTAAAATACATTTATACTATAGACAGCAACTTCTTGATTCTGTAATATCAATAAATAAATATAAAATTAAAGTCCTGGTGTTGGTGCCGAGTGCCGACACTTTTTGGCCAGTGCTTATCATTGTAAAAAAAAAAAAAAAGAAATTAGTCCAACCACTATGTTATTTTTAACAAATCCATCATGCTTTTTCAAAGATTCACTCCACTCATGTTAGATATATTTTCATGTTAATCACACAAAGAGATGCTGGATTGAGACCCACCGACTGCCGATCAAGTTTAGAGGAGCGAGACATTTTGCTCTCATCACTGAGTCTGGAGCTCTGCGCACAAATACACAGAGTCCAGTTTACAATCTTCACACTGATTTGTACCACATCACACCAGAGTTAGTCACACTACTGCATCATGAATTAACACCACAGACTCCTGGATGTCATAATAGGTGAACCAACACACTAGTTAATACTCAAACACCATCATCACACGGTTTGCCACTAACCCGATTAGACAATGTGCTGAGATCATCGTCATAGCCATTGCTCTGTGGGATAGACTAGAAGTCATGATTGATATTACATCTTCTTGTTACAGAACATACATGTGACGTGCATAAGTGCTGCGAACGTACAGTTTTGGAAGAATGTTTCTTCTTTTTCTTGGACTTCTTATGTGAGTGATAGGAGGAGGCCTGGGGAAGCTGGACAGGATGGTGGGAAATGGAAGTAATATTAAAACTGCAGAATTAACTGCTCAATACTTCATGGTTGTGAACATGCAGGTGAAGATTCAGACACTTCAGAGATATAACAGAAATGTTATGGTCATATGGTCATATTTGATCAAATCCAGAAGACAAACCACACCCCCTTCATTTGTAATGTTGATGAAACACTTCAAAACATCACAAATGTAGCATCAGGTATTAGCTATACTTAGTTGAAACACACCACAGTGCAAAAACAAAACCATCTTGTGAACTCAATTATGTGCTCATTCACAGGAACCTGAAAGTAATGATATAACATCCATGCCCGAAGAAACATTTCCCACCCTGAGATTCTTACCACGCCGTAAGCACCCGCCGCATCCAAATCCAACTGCCCAGACAAACAAAACCACCATCAGCATGAAGAACATTTTGGACTGTTTTATAACCTTAGACAACACACAGCGAGCACACACTCATATAAACCAACAACAAACACTCTGACCGACAGCACAGAAGGTTTATACCAGAGGTGTCGAACTCAGTTCCTGGAGGGCCGCAGCCCTGCAGAGTTTAGTTCCAACCCTGCTCCAACACACAAACCATGTATTTTTCCAAATAAGCCTGAAGGACGTGATTAGCTGGATCAGGTGTGTTTAATAAGGGTCGGAGCTAAACTCTGCAGGGCTGTGGCCCTCCAGGAATTGAGTTTGACACCCCTGGTTAATACAGTTTATAAGGAACTATAGTTACACTGATACTGACCCGTATGTTGCTCCTGCTCCCCACTGACATCCGTTCTTCATCATCTGACACCTTGATGGACAAAAAAAAAAGGTAAAATTAGATGGAGTACACAGTTAGCAAGAGTTTAAAGACATAAAACTCACCACTGTGTACATAAACAGCAAATCAGTATGTGCTGTGAGCCCCAAAATAAGTCTGACTTAAAGTAATTGCATTTGGAATAAAATCCAAGTGTATTTTTTTTTTATGAAGGACAAACTTGTGAAATGTTTTGCATGAGAAGTGTTTGTGGAAGTGGTTTAGGAGGACAGACAGTTAAAAGACAAAGGTACAAACCGAAGCATGTCTCCGTGAGACACGTGTATATTGCTCACTGTCCTCCTGAGAAGAGAAGAGAAGAGAAGAGAAGAGAAGAGAAGAGAAGAGAAGAGAAGAGAAGAGAAGAGAAGAGAAGAGAAGAGAAGAGAAGAGAAGAGAAGAGAAGAGAAGAGAAGAGAAGAGAAGAGAAGAGAAGAGAAGAGAAGAGAAGAGAAGAGAAGAGAAGAGAAGAGAAGAGAAGAGAAGAGAAGAGAAGAGAAGAGAAGAGAAGAGAAGAGAAGAGAAGAGAAGAGAAGAGAAGAGAAGAGAAGAGAAGAGAAGAGAAGAGAAGAGAAGAGAAGAGAAGAGAAGAGAAGAGAAGAGAATAAGCAAGATGGCAAAAGAGGCACACAAGACTCAGCAAGAAAGGCTGAGCAGTTTATGCAAATCAGTAATAACTGATGCAAGAGCAATCATGTAAAAAAAAGGTAAACCAAAAACTCAAGACAAAAAAAGTGAAAAGATGTAATACATTCACATTTACGTTCTTGGGGTCAGTAAGATTTTATTTTTACTTTTATTCAGGAAGGAATGCTTGCAATTTATCAAAAGTGACAGTAAAGACATTTATAATGTTACAAAATATTTATTTTATTAAATCTATACTGTTCTTTTGAACTTTGTTCATCAAAAAAAATAATTTTTTCTCTAGTTTTCAACATTGATAATAATAAGAAGAAATGTTTCTTGAGCACTAAATCAGCATATTAGAATGCTTACTAAAAGATAATGTAACACTGAAAACTGGCTGCTATCACAAAGCTACATTTTAAAATAATAATAAAAATGACCAATTCTAATATTCCACAATATTACAGTTTTGACTGTATTTTTATCAAATAAATGCAGCCTTGGTAAGCATAAGACTTATTTCAAAATCATTTAAAAAAATCTTATTGACACCAAACTTTTGAATGTTAGTGTACATTAAAATATCTACAATGCCAGGAAACATATATAAACAAAGTTTTATTTTATTTGTTGAAAAGTTGTGAAAATGCAAATCATGTAGAGGTATTGACCTAGTGTAATGACATGCAACCCTGATATCCAACATCAAACATGCTAATTATTAACAAATAGAACATGAACACATCCTGTATTGCAATCCCTATCATGTAAAAGTCACATGCTGATGAAACTACAGGCTTAGAAAATCTCAAAACAGTGAATGTACCATCCACTGCTCAATGTCCCCCCATTTGTTGTCCAAGTTATCCAGTCCATAGTATTTCTAAAAAAGAGAAATGCAGCAGAAACGAGGAGAGAAAAATAAGGGAAGTTCATGTAACAAGAATGCAACAGAAGGAAAGGAATTAAAGTACAGTATTTAAAAAAATGGTACATAAGTTGTCACTGGGGTGGTAGGTACCCTTTCAAAAGGTACTAATATGTACCCTTTAAGGCACAAATATGCACCTTGTAGTGGTAAATACAGTACAAAGATGTACCATTTGAAATGGCACCACCCCAGTGACAGTCTTTGTACCTTTTTCCTGACTGTGTAGAGTAGAACTACAGCATCAGATGTCCTACCTTCTGCACCTGATAAATCTACATCACAGGAGGCCAGCAAAACAGGATCAGATGAGCAAATGAAAGAAAGCCACCAGATGGGGAAAGCAAAGGGAAAAAGAGAGGGCATTGATTATTTGACATGAAAGAGAGCTAACCGAGTGGAAGAGTGTGTGCTCAAAGATAATGGAGCGAAAAGGGAAAGCTGTTTTAGCAATTTTAAAGAAGTTTTAGCAATCCGTCAGCTCAGTGTCATGTTACCTGGCCTTACAGATAAACTTACAGTTAGAGAAAACAATGGCAGTTCACACACTTGACTCAAAGAACACATAAAGGTCAAGTGGATCAACAAGCAGCAAAATTCAATGCCAACACTTAACTGTCAATCAGGAATTTTAAAAATCACAATGAGAGTTAAAAAAGCATCTGAATTATGTCATGCAACTGTTCAGATATCTGAGAACATACTCAAGTGTCACCGAGGGTCGTGTGATCTGGTCTATGGGATGACAGGATTCTTTCCACTGATGTTTAAAGGGGTCATGTGATGCGATTTCAATTTGTCCTTTCTCTTTGGAGTGTTACAAGCTCTTGGTGCATAAAGAAGATCTGTAAAGTTGCAAAGACTAAAGTCTCAAATCCAAAGAGATATTCTTTATAAAAGTTAAGAGTCAACCACGCCTACCTAAAACGGCTCGTTATAACACGCCCCCACATGTCTACGTCAAGATGTGGGAAGATTTGCATAACACCGCCCAAATGTTCACGCAAAGAAAGAAGGCGTAACTTTTATTCTCGCTGTAGTATTGTTGTTGCCGCGGCCGCCATGTCGTGAAGGCGCTGTGTGTTTCGTTGTGAAAGCGAAACTACTTTGTTTGGCCTTCCAAAAGAGGACAATATTCGCATCGTCATGCCTAGAGCTGATCCGTGCTGGTCGCTGAGGAAATACATCAACTTCGCGCTGTGGATCGCCGGATCGGCTTTCACCGTGGACGAAGCGGAGTCCAGCCCGGGTGTCGTCACATGTGGTTGCTGCAAGCACGCCGGCTGCGCCGTTCTCAAGCCCGCCGGCCGTTCCTCACTCTAAGTAGACTACAATGCCGGCTGTTCTGACTCACAGACTGCAAGTACATTTTCATATTTAAAGAATTTGCCACTGGCGATTCAAATGCGAGTTTTGGGCAGTGTAGAGTAGCGCTTGTTGTTTGTCATTTCTCCGATCACAAATGTAGGTTTTATGTTTACGCGGTGCGATGCAACACGTAAAAAGACAGCATAAGTCATTATAATCAGTACTTATGTCCCCACTGGATGCAACAAATGCCTCGTTAATATTTTGTCTCGTCGCTCCAGCCGGACAGGGCATCACAGTATGGTAGGGGCGTAACATTTCTGTCACCCGCTTGAGGTATTCGGCCAATCACAATGCACTGGACAGCTGGCCAATCAGAGCACACCTCGCTTTTCAGACCGATGAGCTTTGTAAAAAATCGACGCGTTTCAGAAAGGCGGGGCATAGAGGAGAAACAATAATGTACAGTATGTGGAAAATAATGTTTTTTGAACTTTAAACCGCATAAACACATTTCATTACACCAAAAACACCAAATAATGTTCTTTTTAGCAACATCATATGACCCCTTTAAGGTTTCATTTGGTCCACTAATGATCAAACCAATGAACAGCACTGGACTAGTATAGCAGTGTTATGTTTACACTAGTACACTTTTGTACGTGTTCTTGTCCATTACTTTTTCACAAGTAACAATAACATCAACAGATAAGCTGAAGATTCTTAAAATATCCAACTACTATGGTTTGGTCCCCACAGTATATTTTGACACTTACAAATGTACTAACCTCCTGCTAATGACATAACTAAACCCTGTTAATAGATAAAACCTACACAAAAGCAGTTTTCTAGCTAGAAAAAAAATACATCTCTTTAACAGTTGGTTGTATATTTTGATAATTTAATCAAGAATTTAATCTAATTATTATATAGTCTAAACTATACAGTGCAATAGTGAACACTTTCACTCTTACTTACTGAAAACCTACAGAATCTCACCTAACTGGTTTCCCCATGTGTATTTGCTCCAGTTTTGATGAGTGTTTATTCATCCAGTCCTGTACAAAACGTCTTCCTTTGAATTACCTTTAACACCTTATGTATCAAATTAGAGACTTTCCCACAACATCAATGCTCTTTTGTTTCTGCACTCTCACAGAATTAGCCAAAAAACTAAGAAATTGTTAGGGTTTTAGAAGAAAAGTTACCATGTTCTTCAAAAGGTACAAAATAAAACTTTTTTCTAATAAATCGAAACTGCATCTGGCACAAACCCAATAAACACCCTTGATAGAACCAACCTTTTGACTAGCACAAAACAGTTTCAGAACTATTCATTAAATTGATAGGTCATAGTCAACAAATAAACCCAGAATAAAATACACTTGATCAGATCACCCGATGCTAGTTAAACTAGTACAGAAAATCAAATGCATCAATCAATCTGTTACTTAATTATTAACACAGTAGTAACATAGTCAGTAATTTCGTATCTTTCCATGCTCATCTAGTAAACTTAATCTCACCTTCCTCAGCAGAGGGGTCTGGAGTCTCCCACTGATCACTTCCCTAGCCCCTCTTCGCACTAATCGCTTGCAGGCCATCCTAATAGTCTCAAAGAGTCCCCATCTACCTCAGGACTGAGGGAGACAGAGACCTTCTATGATTCCAAAGACGCACTCTGCCATAAAATCCAAACCTCCACAAAGTCTGGATTAAACTCTTCCAGATCTATTTTATGTCACAGCATCTTCAATCTTGAGTCATTGTGTTTGCGATCAGCATAATGATCACAGCCAGATAGTGAGAACTGAGTGGAAACTGAATCTGTTAACCCGCTGCAGGAACGGCTGAAAGCTCATAATCTACTTTTAAAGACTTGGCTGGAGATTTAAAGCCACAAAACACACACCCTTAACATTCACACACACCTCCTGATCAGACCAGGCTTAACTCTGAATGCTAGCTAATCTCTCAAGTGTGACCTGGGTATGCTTAAAGGGATGTTTATCTTCATTGCATAAGTTTGTATCGTCTGAGCTCAGGTATCACAGTGTGGGTTTCTGGTTGTCCATTTACCTTCGAAGGACCCTGAGCAACTTCATTCATATGCACTTAATCAAATGTCCTTAGATATCTTAAGGAATCTACAACTTGTTTAAATTCATGCATCTGAACCCATGCCATTCATGTCCTATTTACTGTGTGCAGTCAGCCGTAGCAAACCAGCATCAGCAGTCACAGTGCATTAACACTAATTACCCAGAATTAACCATACGCATATCCATGAGTTGGAACCAAATGTTGCCATTTCTTTAAATCCAGCTCTCTTTACTATGAGGAACGTTAAAGCAACAAACTGATATAGTACCAAAAGCCTGACAAAACAAATGAATAACTCAACATCTATAAAGTCTGTTTGTAAAGACTTACAGTAACTGTAATTTAACAGGGAGTTGAGAATGACCTGTAATCTTAGGCCAGAATTAGGGGTAAAAGTACAAAACCTGCAGTAAAGCTGCAGGGTACTACAACAAAATGAGCATAAATCCAGGCCTTTTTTTCATGAGTGTTATTTAAGCTATTTGAACAAATTCCTCAGACAACCTAATCAAATTAAATCAATTGCATGTTATTGTACACTTACAAAGTGGGGCATGAGTTAATACTATTTTCATAGATAAACCTTTTTTTCTTTATTTCTTCAGTGGAACACGAAAGATGATAATTTGAAAAATGTCTCAGGGTTTTGTTTTTCTTTTGTCCACGCACTTAAATTAAAAGGGGTCTTAAAAACATTGGACCCCACTGACTTCCATTGTATTGGCAGTTGAAACAATTTTTCAAAATATCTTCGGTGTTCTGAAAAATACAAAGTCATACAGATTTAGACATGAGGATGAGTAAAAGACAGAACGTTATTTTTTGGGTTAACTCTTTAAGCTGTATTTAACATTGAATACTTTTAAGTTTGTTTTTCTTTGTAAAGACCCCAAAGTGCTCATGTAACCTGTAATATTTCTGAGCATTAGCTGAGTAAATGCTTAAGTTCAAATGGGCTCTTAGAAGGTCTTGACCCAGGGGGTGATTAACTGACCCTGATCCCCATTACCCAGCCAAAACATGTCCTTCAAAGCACAGAGCCCACAATCATGATGAAGATTAAACAAATTGAACATAATCGGCTGACAGTGTTGTGCAGGAGCAAGTCAACAAGAAGACCATAAGAAAGATTCGGTTTTGAGAATAAAGGCCTTTTCCGCTGGCAGTTCAATAGGAAAACACCTTGAAAATATTTTGAGTGAACAAAGGCCAAGACTGGATAAATATTATCAGCGACAACGTTTTCAAAAACGCCAATGCAATTTTAAAGGCCTACAAGCTCAACACACTCTTGAACTGTATTGGAAGGTTCTCCTCCTGTGTTTCAACACATTGTGTAATGCAGGTTGTTTACTTTGTGTGGTGCTTTTAGTTTCTTAACATATGACTCTTGTTAGTAGGTGCTGTGATTATGACACCAGTGAAAGGGGACATATCCACTATACGCACAGAATGGAGTTAAGCAGGTAAGCGCATGGGGATGGGACTTTTCCGGAAGTTAAACCTCCTCAAATCTCAATCTTACAGGATAGGTCACATGTTACTGGTGGGCATGTCAAAACATCTATGTACTGGAACAACACTGTCATGCTAGAAGGTTTTCTGAGCCCCCTAATTAATAAATAAATATATAAAGAATAAATAAATGCAATTTCTATAAAGATGTATATTATAGCTTATAGAATATTATAAGAGACTTGAAAAGCAATATGTAAAAGTTGATACAAAATCAAGACCAACATCACATTTAGCAACGCTAAGGCCTAAATTTCAGCCCAAGTTTCAGCCTTCAGTGATTGTATTTCTTCACCTCTTTCTGTTGTCTCTCCAGTTCTCTCATTCTGATCTCACGAGCTTCTGCACGGGCCGCCCTCTTAGCTGCCATACGGGCTTCAGCCTGCAGGGGGCGGATGGGGAAACAGAGAAAAAGAGAGAGGTAAAGTCATTAAACCATAACCAAGAGAGCATGAGCACTGTAGTAAATGCAAAAAAATAGAGGAAGTTAAATCAACACACAAAAAACTACTTATTAAATTTCTTGTAATGTAAATTTAGCAGGAGGTTCACAGGATATATACATTTCCTATATTACATGATTACAGGAACATGTTTATGTATCTCCTCCCTGTCATTAAGTTTTATGTACTGTAACTGTATACTCCTCAGACTGCACATGCTATGAATGTGTTTGTTTACATGAGTATGTATGTGTGTATTTGTGACTTTAGCTCATCACACTTTGAAAGTCCTTTTAACCCTTAAATGCATAAATGTTTCACCAATCATTATTACATATTCGGGTCTTTAGCGACCCGGACCTATATATCCAGCACGGATGGACCTCTAACTGCTGCAATAGCAAAACAAATTCTTGATATTTTAAGAACAATTACAGAAGAATAAAATAAAGCATATTTCGTTACCTTTTGAAACTTAAAAGGGTTCAAATTGAGCAGATGATTTTACCATCGCTGTCATCGTCAGAGCGCACTTCCACAGTACATTCAGCATCTGCCTCACATTCACGATCTCAACCATATTCTCAAAACTATCGTTTTCAATGACTTCATATTCAATATTTTGATCACTGCCATCTTATTCACCACATCCAGCATCAAATGGCAGTGACATTTATATTTCATTGCGTATAGTAATTGCTCTGCAGTAAAGCCATTCAAACCAGTTACATTTTTGCTGATAATATTCGTTTGTTTTTTGTCTGCGGTAATTATGAGTGAAACATCACATCATCATTGTGTATCAAACAGTGCCACCTTGAGGAAAAAAGATGCATTGCACAAATTGAGTAATCAGATATGTAAATATTGTCGCGCAGGAAAAAATACTTACACATTTACATACCTTGGGTCTCTAGAGACCCTATACACTTTTTTACAAAAAATTTATCAGAAAATAGGCATTCTTTTACATTTTACTATTTTTTTTCTTGTTATATTGTTTATAATGAATAGATTGAGGAATACTAAGAAATTTGATGTCTAAGTTTAAAAAATTAAGGAGGTAGAGGGTAGAGAATGATGTCCCGGGTCGCTAAAGACCCGAGGTATGCATTTAAGGGTTAAGGAAGAGACTCCTTTAAGGCTGATTTATACTTCTGCGTCAGACCTACGCCGTAGCAGTGTATTATCATTTATTATACTACATAGCATTATACATCAGTAGTTGTCCGCAACAAACAATGTTGATCTGCCATGATACAAGTCCTTGTGGAGATTGAAAGAATGCATCATCATCTCCTGTAAAGGCTACGGCGTAGGTCCGACGCAGAAGTATAAATCAGCCTTAAGGCATTGGGGGGGAGAGAGGAGAGAGAGAACACACTTCCTTCCTGCAGATGACGCCACAAAATGTTTAACAACCCAAAAAAAGAGAAAACCTCAACTCCAGTATTTCATCATAGACACTACACACTACCACAGTGATGTCTGCAACTGAAATCTGCCCATTTCCCCCCCCAAATCCTGTACTAACAAGTAATCTTTACACCAGACGCATGACTGTAACACTCACATATTCCTGAAAACACAGCAAAGTATTGATATTTATGTTTTACCAGGAAAAAAATAATGTTAAAAATGTTTAAAAAAAAATTAAAACAGTGGAACTACTACTCCAAGGGGCATGCAAGATTTAAAATGAATTCCTGTGTTTGTTAGCTGCTGGAGAAATCCATAATGACGTGTTCCTGAGTAAATGTCAGATCATATCTTAATGTCTCAGACTGAGGCCTTCTATCCTGAACACAGTCACACAACTTTCCAAGGAAGCAGCTGTTTCTCACCACAAAGGTCTTGCGTCCCTTTTCCAACAACGATGTTCAAGAAATATTTTGCCAAAATAAATATTTCCACAGCTTCAACCACTTCTTGTGAAAGAAAGTGATGGCCTAATTTTACTTTTAATTTTAGAAACTTTTCTTGTAAATTTAGTAGTGAAGGACAAGCTTCTACATATTCTTTCCAGTTCAATTTAATATACCCTTGCTAAATAAAAGTATTAATTTCATTCATTCAAAAATAAATAAATAAATATCCCCAAACTTTTGAAAGGCGGTGTAGTGCAAGTAATTGAAACAATCACACTTGCAAAGACATTTCCCATGTTGGCAAATCACAGCACTATTCAAATAATCAAATCAAAGCAGCAACACAGGACAAGAGAGGACAAATAAATTAGGAATATTTAACCTTTCTCATACTTAATGAGTGGTGCTGTGCAGTTGACATTCAACATCAGAATTAAACATCCAAATCTGAATTCAAGAAATACCTTTATATTGAATATCACTATAGTTGTAAACAGCAAATGTGTGACCATGTTATGTTAGTACTGTTGTAATGAAGGCAGATAATTGTGTAGAAGAACTGCCAGGGCGAAGTTATTACAGCCAACCCTGGCAATTAAGCAGCTGTCCAAACAGGTTTCTAACAGGTTCTCACTAATGTCAACATATGATTTCCACAAACACAGCAATCCACCTATGCATACATGCTTCTTTAAAATAACAGTTACCACCCAACAGGGCTCTTTGACTGTGCTGAAAATGTTGAATAAGATTTAATTTTGAAAAAAAAAAAACTAACCATCAAGGGTAATAGAGTATTCAGAAAACTTTCAGGAATAAATGCACTTTGTATGACTGCGTGACTAACAGGGTAACCAAAACTATGCCTTTTTTGACCATAGCAGGAAATCAGAGGGCTGAGTCATTCCCAATTGAGCCTGGATCACACCCTTCCTGCACTTTAGCAGAACAAACCACTGATCGTATGAACGCCCATCACTGCTTATTTCTGATGCGGAGGGCATGTACATGTGCACACAATATGATTTACATGAACAAGATAATCATTCATATTACTGAACCAAATCTTTTGTAGTACATGTCAGTCAGTGCTTTACAATGCTTACAATATACCCAAGAAAACAAGGGTTTTGACAAGAAAAAAAATACATAAAATGTGCATAGGCACCTAAAAGAAGCAGGTTAGCAATCTTAAAGAAAACATGCACTATTCAACCCTCTGAACTAAAACAAGCAGCTTTTATCATAACTCATATTCATATTAAGGCCTACCTTCTTGCAGTTATCAAAGTACACCATGATATCAGTCACGGTGAGCATATGATAGCCTGGGTCATCTGCATTTTCCCCCATCATGACCATTTACACACTCCTATCGCAGAAGAGGAAAACACACTGGCCTATTTCACACACCTCTCTCCTCTCACTCTCTCCTCTACAGCTATTTTTAATGACCCAAATGGAGCAGGTTCTATCAATAAACCCAAAATGCTCTAATTTAATGAAAGTTCTGTGACGTGGATGTTCTCAACGGGAACGAAGAGCTAGTTCCACTGCTGTCTGGTAATGAACCTTTTTTTTTTAAACAGAAATACATAGTTTAATTGCTCTAATTGACCACAGAGTACATTCCTTCACGTTATTGTCAACAGTTACCAAATTGAGACTTAAATAAAGGTGCAATTCAAAGGTGTAATTTGTTAAGTAGTAGATACGGCCCTATCTTGGATGCACACAGTCTGCTGTGTCACAAATGATGCACTAGACTATGCACTTCTAAAATGCACTCTACCGTCTAAAGGGGGTCGCACACCAGACGAGAAGCGCAGCGCCGCGCCACGTCTTTAAAATTCGAACACATTGTTTTCTACGAGAGTACGCACACTGCCGGCGCCATTCGGCGTCTGTCCGCGGCGCCCAGCTACGACTCAGGACGCTGTTCAAATTACTGCCGCGCCACAGAGCGCCATCTGCATAGTTTTATATTAAATAACATCATATTTGTCTCAAATCGTTGTTAATACATTATACCAAGATACCACTTCTTCAAAATACTACATACATTAGTTTTACAGCTTGAATAAAATGTAAACATATAGAATTAAATGTATAATAAACGTAGTCCTTTTAATCTTTTATTTTTCTCTTGAGACATTTTTACATACGCAAAATATTACAGTATTGGCCTATGTAACATAGTTGCCTAGACAACAGATACAACAAAACAATAACAGACTTATCATAACACAGATTCTTTTCACTGATTAACGTTCAAAACTCAGCTATTATCAATTAAAATAATATATTTAAAATAATAATAAATGAAGTTAAAACCCACCCATCTTGCAGCTCAGAACTTGATTCGAAATTGAGCTCGCGCGTGTAGAATGTGCGCGTCCGGTGTGCGATACCTCGAGTTGTCCTAGACGGGGCGCTGCGCTTCTCGTCCGGTGTGCGACCCCCTTAAGATTGCCATCTAGCATTGCAATCTAATAACCCCTCCCTCTCATAGTGTGTGAACATTACTCACACTAGTATTGACACTAAAACATGGCATAGAATAGTGCATAAATACACAAATTGGGAAGCACCTATATTCTCATAGATGCAGCATCTGAAAAAGTTGGCAGTTGGCATTTGCAATCAGCCATGGTTAATGTGTGAAACTCGGATGAAGTGTTGCTAACATGTCTGAAGCATAAACAGAGAAATGACTGTTTCTACTGACATTTTTTTCCAAATCACAAATATGAGCATCTCCACTTCATTTAGATTTAGTTTGAAAACAGGGCTTAGAAAAAGAGATTTGTTATTGCAACACTTTAGGAGCTGTTCACACAGAACGAATTCACTTGTTCCACCGTGCTACTTTTCAATTGTTTTTGAATGTAAACATGCTAGATTGACTGTTGCACTTGCGCCTCGTGTCTTTTGCAGCATCTCGCACATTACTTTTCACTTTTTAAAAACTGCACCTGGAGGCCTTGCAAGGTCCAAGCAAAAACATGTTCTGTGTAAATGGCCCCTTAGAGTTTAACCAACAGAATTGATGAATTATTGTGTATTTGGAT